TGTTAAATTCTTTATGTTGGATTTGGGTGCAGCTATAAACCTAAGTACTTAGAAATAAATGCTTTCATGTTCGTCTTTAAATAATAAGGCCTTACGTGCTGAATGTGTATATTCCTATTGTTCATGATTTCATAGTCCAAAATTTTACTATATTGACAGCTCTTAGAACTCCTCCCCCTAACACTACCTGCTGCCCCGTTGGTTATCACGCTGACAGCCAGCGCTACTTTTTTTTCCTCGTGTCCCCTTAAAAAGCAGCAAGCAACTTGGCCTCACTGCTGGCATCGCCCTGTCGCGTTCTTTGGGTTGCCAACGCCCCTCCCCAGACTCTCTCTAGCGTCTAGAAGGATAAAATTAACGTTTGTTACTTCGTATTATTAATTTCTGGGAAGCAATGATTTCTCCACCGGGGCCATGAGCACCTATTAGGCTTTCACCCTGGTGAATATTCGTTAATCACAACTGAAAACCTAGGGTTGAGCCCCTAAAGTCCATAGTACATGCAATTCTGTAAAATCTCTAACTTGTAGAGGGAAATACATGAGTCTCTTATTTTTGAGAGTGGATGGCTAGACGTTAAAAAATAGCCAGTTTGTTTTTTTTTTTTTGGAGACAGGGTTCGACCGGTTGCCTGGGCTAGGAGTGCTGTGGGTCAGCCAGCTCACGAGCAAACTCCTGGGCTCGAGCGATCTCCACTGCCCGCCTCCTAGTAGCTGGGAGCTAAGGCAGCTGCCACATGCCTGCTAATTTTTTATAGTATATTTTAGTTGGCCAAGTAATTGTCTTTTTGTGAATATATATTGGCTGTCTTAGCCCGCCTGGGCCTCTCAGAGTGTTAGGATTACAGGCGTGTGCCACCGCGCCAGGCCGAAAGAAGTTATTTTTAATTGATTTAAAATTCCAATTTAATTGAAAAGCAATTAGTAAGCCCCTACTATGTGCAAGCAACTTTCTCAAAACTAATTAATTACAAATTTAAGTGGCATTATTCAAAAGAGTAAAAAATATCCTCAGTAAACTTCCATGAGAGGTTCATGGTACCACTAATAGAAGTTAGGCAAACATGGCTTTGAATATCCAGGATTTTACAGGTATAACAGTAACAGGCCTTCACATCACTTAATACCACCAAAGCTTGATGAAACAGATTAGTGGCTGCCCATGTCTGGCAGGGATACACCACAAAATCACCTGCTTAAATAGCTTTTATGGTGTTCACAAAGTGTAACCATTACCACAACAATTTTAGAACATTTTCATCACCTTAAAAAGAAATCCTGCACCCCTAAGCCATCATACCCCAAGTCCTCTTTCCCTGCCTAGTTAGAAAATCCCCAGCTTCTCTGGTCAACTTGCATAGCATCTACACCCGTGTAGGTCCCAGAACCTCCTTAGCAGGACATTCAAGACCCATCACAATCTTAACTGGTTAGTCCACTGTCGCTCTGCACCATAAACTACATGCTGACACGACTACACATTCTCACCCTTCCTTAGCTTTGGTTCATATTGTTTCTTCATTTGGAATGTCCTTCTTTCTTTTCTCACCAGAAAAATCATTCTTCAGAATCTAATTTAAAAGCCCATCCCACCCACTTCTGTCAGAATTAGTCATTCCCTTCTTTGAGCTACTAGAGTGCTTGATTTATATTGTGAATCTGGCATTTATCACATTGCCTTTCATTTATATGTAGGATGTCTCCCAAATTAGACAGTAAACTTCTTAGAGCTTAATGATCTTTTTAGCCCTGCCTCCTACAACAATGCCTGGCTATATAGTAAGCCCTCAGGAAATGCTGACTGAATAAATGACTGAATTAACTGGACTAGATTCTTAGAAAAAAATTACTTTAATTAAACTTCTATAAGAAATCTAGAAGCAGTATTTAGTTACGTCCACCTTGAAATTCTAACATGGTAACCCAAGTATATACATATTCATATTTTAGAAGGTTCTAAATCTGAAAAATAGATGGAATCGATTGTTTTGAACACCTGCTTGGTAGTTTGTAAACTTCTGATGAATGGGGGTCTCGGCTGAGTGGAGATGCTTATTTGGTGCTTAAAGTAACAGCGAAGACACTTAGGCTTATTATTTGACAATGGTAACTGTGAATACTTCCAAGGTTCTAAGAAATCCAGTCAGCTGTTTGTCCTAGAAAATATCTCCATCCCTCAAACATACAAAGTCCAAATAATCTAAAACTACAATTGGAATAGACATTAAAGAATATCTTCTGAAATTTCCCCAGAGGAATCTGAAAAGGGAGTAACTTCAAGATATATAACATGAAATATAAAGCTTCCTTCGTGGTTCCACTAATGTGTGGTCTCATCTAGGAAGCTCTACCCAATCTATCCAGACTGGTTTGAGTGTCCCTCCTACTTACTCCCATAAAACCCTGTGCTTTCCTCTAGTGGAGCAAGTGTCACATTGTAAATAATATTTAAATAAATACAGTCTCACTCACTAAGCCGTATAAGTCCTTGGATGGGGTAGGAAATATATTTCTGTGTCCCTGGTAAGCAGAACAGTACTCAATAAAGGTCTACTCAATAAATTAAAGCTTCTGAAAAGGTTAATACTGAGTTTACCAGACCTGAAGAACTTCATGGCAAGCTACACAAGGAGCCTGGTCACTTAGCATAGTTGATCTTTAGTAGCTAAAATATATCAAATACCCTGTATATAGAGTCCTGCCCTTTGCAAGTGTTGAGCTTATTACTTGTAGGCTTTTTTAAAGACTAAGTTCAATAAAGTTTTAACTTAGAAAATCTCATCCTTATACATACATATCTTTTACCTACTTGTACACATTGATTCTAATTCTTCAATTGCTTGTTCAGCCTCCTGAATTTCTTGGTAAATGGCAGCAAGTGGTGCCAACTCAGCATGCCTTCGGTTCAAGGACCTTCGATTCTCTTCATTTACAGAGGTATGCTGCAAACATTGTTCAAGTGTTTGGTACTCCTTATTCAGGTCCTCCATATATTTCTGTAGTGCTTTATGCTTCCAGAGCATCTTGGTGTCTTGATGACAGTATCTCCTGGACCAGTTCTTATTTAACAGCTGGAGAATCCGATTCCTGTTTGGTCTAAATACCCACAGCCTTGTATGAAGATGTATCTGTCTACATTGATGAGAATGGAGGTGGATGTAACACTGGGAGTAACCATTAAGAGATGGATGTCTAAAAAGCCAAACACATAGGTGACGACTCATCTCAGCATCTGAAATATAATAAACACAATCTGAAAAAGGCAACTCTAAAGATATATGGGCCAGGCATGGTGGCTCACACCTATAGTCCTAGCACTCTGGGAGGCCAAGGTGGGCGGATTGCTCGAGGTCAGGAGTTCGAAACCACCCTGAGCAAGAGTTAGGAGACCCTGTCTCTACTAAAAATAGAAAGAAATTAATTGGCCAACTAAAAATATATATAGAAAAAAATTAGCCAGGCATGGTGGCAGATGCCTGTAGTCCCAGCTACTAGGGAGGCTGAGGCAGTGGGATCGCTTGAGCCCAGGAGTTTGAGGTTGCTGTGAACTGGGTTGACGCCACGGTACTCTAGTCCGGGCAAGAATGAGACTCTGACCCAAAAAAAATAAAAAAATAAAAATAAAGATATATGGCTGGATGTGGTGGCTCACGCTTGTAATCCTAGTACTCCGGGAGGCCGAGGTGGAGGACTGCTTGAGGTCAGGAATTTGAGGCTACAGTGAGCTATGATGATGTCACTGCACTCTAGTCCAGGGTGACAAGACCAAGACTCTGTCTCAAAAATTTTTTAAAAAATTTTTGTTTTAATTAAAAAGTAAAAAAGATATATGGCATAATAAAACTAGAAGGAGCTCCAAGAAATCCTGTTAAGTTTACTGCCTCAGCCAGCTCCAAATGCAGTACCAAAATAACCCACAAAAAAATCCCACAATTTTTCAAACCTCTGAACAATAGCATATTAAAATAACTGAAAACAGCAGTTTTCTACCCACCCAACATATATAATTAACTAAGGCAAATAAGTAAGACTGTAAGAGTATAACAAATATATCGACTGAATCAATTAATTCAGCTACTTTCTAGAAAGTATCCAGAGTCTAGAATTGAGTGTGTAAACAAGCACTTGAAAGCTATGAAATAATCCTGCAAACTTTAGGTGGTTCACATAGTCATACATTCCAAAGCTTTAAGAAAACACTGACTACTTTGTCTAATTCTTTACTTTTAGGTATCCAGATGTCCAAGGAAGTCAAATAACTTAACCAGGACTATTGATGCAGCCACATAGAAAAACAAGTCAGTATTATATAGAATGCAAGTTGCCTGTTCAGGGCTCAGTACTTTTTATTCTCAATCCTGCAATCACTTTTAAAAGGTGATTAGTAATCTATGTACAAAAAAGTGTATATAGTACTTTTTGTTTTCTTTTAAACTGTCTGCCCTGCGTCTGCCCGTTATGATTTCATTCAATTCATCCCGGTCATCAAAAGGCAGTTTATTTTAGGGAGGTATGGTGACAATTAGAGCACTACTTCAGCCCAATTTGTGTATCAGCCTCCCAACAGAGTGCATTTTAAAAAGAAAACTAAATAAGAAACACACCAAAATGTTAATAAGATAATCTCTAGTTGTGGGATTATGGATACCTTTGTTTGCTTTCTATTTTTTCTACTTTTTACTGTTTTCCAAGCCTTCTACACATATAGCACGTATCACATTCATAATCAGAAAAAAAGGTTACTTTAAAAAATTACAGGTTAGGTGAAATTGGCTGTGTACAAAAATTATCTGTTATCCTCCTCCCCTCGAACAGAAATAATCAAGAGCTAACAAAAGCACACAATGGTTTTATTGAGTAGAAAACAAAAAATATAAAGTGTTCTAAGAAAAACACTTTACCCTTAAAATTCCCAGGTTCAAAGTTGAAATAAGGGTCAAAATTTATTAGAATCAATCTTTACTGTCTCCAATGTTTCTCCTACTTTAGGACGTGCATTCATATATTAGTTCATTTGACCACTATAGGTATGTTAATTTTGGATTATTGCCTAGGAAATAAAATATTCAGAATGATCTCTAAAATAGTCAAAGATTCCAGGGTCCTACTGATACATTTTAAAATACTAAATCACATCTGGAAAAGAATGCACCAATGCCCAGCAGCCATAAATGTTACACTCCCCCAGCAGAAGTTTCTCTGAGTTTTTAAATCTAGTTTCAAGCACATCAGAGGAGGTGTGTCTATTTTTATAACAGACAGAATAAGAGGATGACAAACTGATTTTTGTTAGAATACTTCTAGCTAAAATCCACCTTAGGAATAGTAGGAGAATGACTAATTCTCAAGGTCATGAACCTCAACATGAAGGGAAAAACCCAAAACTTTTACTCTCCAGGGTTAACTATATCTGAGAGCAGCAAGACGTCTCCATCACTCACCATAGTAACAGTATTACTCTGATACCTTAGGAAAAATTCTGTGTCGGCGTGTCAGAAGTGGCAATAAGTGGGCGCTGGAGTAGCACGTGCAAACCATATTGTGTAACTCAGTATATGAAGTGATTCCATAAGGAAGCAACAGAGGGAAAAATAAGAAAAGCAAAAGGTCCTTGTAAGATCGGGAAAAAATTATGAGTACCTATGAAAAAGAAGAAAGGACGTTAGCTCGCCTGTCTGAGGTCAGAACCTTCCGAGACCCGCTACATTTCAGGCTGACAGACCCGGAATCACTTTTACTTCCGGGTACACTCCTTCCGGGTTAACGCTTGCTCCTGGCTCTTCCTCCGTCACGACCGTTTTCCAACGGAAAAATCCTTGGGTGTGCTTAACAATCAGCTAAAAATGACAAAAATTAGCTAAATGAGAAAAATGATAGAGAAAAGTGAGACTACTACGCCAAGCTGATCCGGAGCTGGAGCCGCAAGGCACGGGTGGAGATTGTGGGAGGGATAGAGGTGCCGCGGGGGAAATGAACCGGTGAACCACAACTCCCAGGAGCTCCCACCAAGGAACTCCCAGACTGCCAGGGAGTCTAGGAGTTGTGGTTCATCCCGCGACTGGCTGGCCCACCGTCCCTCGTCTCGCTGCCTCCCACCTCGCCCCGCGAAAGGTGGACTTTGGTTTTCAGTTACATGCAGACCCAGGAGAGAGAGTCTGTACAGTTTTGATTAAGAGATCAAGATTTGTGGCCCGATGTGGTGGCTCACGCCTGTAATCCTAGCACTCTGGGAGGCCGAGGCGGGCGGATCCTTTGAGTTCAGGAGTTCGAAACCAACCTGAGCAAGAGCGAGACCCCGTCTCCTACTATAAATACCAAACAAATTAATTGGCCAACTAATATATATACCACAAAAAATTAGCCGGGGCGTGGGTGTGCATGCCTGTAGTCCCAGCTACTCGGTAGGCTGAGGCAGAAGGATCGCTTGAGCCCAGGAGTTTGAGGTTGCTGTGAGCTAGGCTGACGCCATGGCACCGCCACTCTAGCCTGGCAACAAAGTGAGACTCTGTCTCAAAAAAAAAAAAAAAAAAAAAAAAAAAAAAGCCAATTAAACAATTCCAGGAATATGCCAACATAATAGTCTACTTTGAATATTCCAGTGGGATACAGCCCTTGGCTATCACATTTACAAGTCATTCACTCTCTGTGCCTCAATTTTTCTTTCTCAGAAGTAAAAGCAAAAATATTCCATATTACTAAATTTACAGAATATTTTCTTAGGTTAATATCACATACATAAAAAGGAAAACTAGCCATACATCTACAAAATGATATCTACACATTTATTACCTTCATCATGGTACCTACTTCTACCAACTACATACTAGACGCTAAATGTTTTAACCTATTAATTCATATAATCCTCACAACAACCCTAAAAATACCCATTTTGCAGAAAACTAAGGCAGCAGAGAGCTCAAGCAACTTGTCCAAGTGAAAAGACTTAGTAAGTGATAAAGCCAAGATTCAATATGGCAATCTGTCCTAATGATCTGGGGCTCCTGAGCTCTGATATAGTGGCCCTCCCTCTCCCAAACACAGAAAAAGTTCTCTCATTCAATAAATAAAATATTGAACACCAGTTATATGCTATTCACTATTCTAGGTATGAAGATTTAGCAATAAACAGAAAAGACAAAAATCTTTGCCCACATGGAGCTTATGTTCCAGTAGAGAACAAATTCCAAGGGATCTACATAATCATTCTCATAAATTATCAAAGAAAGAAAGTCCTTTAATTCTTTATTTATTATTTTTTTTATTTTTTATTTATTTATTTTTTTTGAGACAGAGTCTCGCTTTGTTGTCCAGGCTAGAGTGAGTGCCGTGGCGTCAGCCTAGCTCAACAGCACCTCAAACTCCTGGGCTCGAGTGATCCTTCTGCCTCAGCCTCCCGAGTAGCTGGGACTACAGGCATGCGCCACCATGCCCGGCTAATTTTTTATATATATATCAGTTGGCCAATTAATTTGTTTCTATTTATAGTAGAGACGGGGTCTCGCTCTTGCTCAGGCTGGTTTTGAACTCCTGACCTTGAGCAATCCGCCCGCCTCGGCCTCCCAAGAGCTATAATTCTTTATTTTGATTTGTGTTTGCAGTTATAAAACCTAAGTATTAAATATAATGCTTTGTTCTCTTTAAATAATAAGCCTTACTGCTATTGTTTATATTCCTATTGTTCATATTCATATTCAAAATTTATATATTGAAGCCTTAAACTCCTCCCCCCATGTGACTACATTGGAAATAGATACTTTAAAGAGGTGATTAAGGTTAAATGAGGTTATAAGAGTGGAGCCATGATCCAATAGGATTAGTGCCCTTTAAAAAGAGATACCAGAGAACTTGCTCTCTCTGTGCTAGTGCAAAGAATTCATGTAAGTACACAGTGTACACTTACAAGCCAAAAGTAAAGGCCTTGGAATGAAACCTACCTTGCTGCCACGTTGATCTTAGACTTGCCAGTCTCCCAAATGGAGAAATAAATCTCTGTTGTTTAAGCCCTCCAGTCTATGGCATTTTGTTATGGCAACCCAAGCAGACTAAGACACATATGTAAAAATGTATTGAGATATATAGTAAGTCCTCACTTAATGTCATTGATGGGTTCTTAGAAACTGTCACTTTAAGTGAAACAACACATGCTGAAACCAATCTTACCTCAGGCTAATTGATATAAAGCGTAAGTTCCTATGGCACACTTCTGGCCATGAAAACATCACCAAACTTTTAAATAATACTTCTAATATTAAATATTAGCTCAAAATACTTCTAATATTAAATATTGAGATAACTGTGAGCTATACATACATTTAAGAAAGATGAATAAAAACAAGTAAGCTAAATTTTTATCCAGTTATTCCAGTTCTGAGTCACAGGTGAGCAGAGTATATCCCAGCAGCTCAGGGGACAACGTGGGAACCGGCCCTGGCATGGTGGCATTCATCACAGGGTGCACTCACACACGGCCACATTCACTCAGACTGGGACAACGTAGACATGACAATAAACCTAACAGGTATATCTTTGAGATGTGGGATGAAATCAGAGTACTTGGAGCAAACCCAGTAAGACAAGGGAAGAACATGAAATGGGATTTTAATCAGATATATTTTTCTACAGAAAAAATGAAATCAGGAATTATTTAGCAATGTAATACAAAATTCAAACTGTCCCTAACGAGGAAAAGAAATGTCAAAGCAAAGGTTGTTCCATTTGTATTCTTATAAACTATGTTCTTTGGAAGAAGCAGACTATGAGGATGATGTGAACTAAAGTAGAATTGTAAGGCTCACCACCCCACCCCCCATCGGCTGACTGAATGGACCACCTCGCAGCCAAAGGAATCTCTTAAAACTAAACTGTCTGCCTGGAGGAGGGTGGTCAGACCTGTCTCATCATGCCCCACTCCCTTCTTGGGGACATCTTTTGTAACCCATTAACAGGCCTAAGATGGTATGCAAGACAAACCTACAGGTCCTCAGTTTACACAACAAATCTATGTCTAGTGGCTTATCTCTGATAACAGCTCCTTATGTTAAAACATTCCAAGCCTTTAGACAAAGCTTCACATCTTTTACCAATTACAATCCAAAGAATCTTTAAACCCACCTATAACCTGTAAGCCACCCCTCCTCGAGATGTCCCACCTTTTTGGGCCAAACCAAGGTATGCCTCCCATATATTGATTTATGACTTTACCTGTAACCCCTGTCTCCCTGAAATGTATAAAAACCAAACTGTAACACAGTCACTTCGACTCCACTTGCCCAAGGGCTCCTGGGAGGGGTTCCGGGTCATGGTCCTCAAATTTGGCTCAGAATAAATCTCTTTAAAGTTATTTTACAGAGTTTGGCTTTTTTCCATTGACAATGAAAAGGCAGCATTTCTTCTTTTCACGTATTCATACTAGTTGTCAAAATTTTTCTTTTTTTTCTATTTTTCTTTATATATTAAACTTTGTTTAATTTTACAAATTTAAATTATTTTATTTTCTTTTTAATCCATCCTAGTTTGTCCTAAGTCAAATATTTTTAGCTTGGAAAACAATGCTAAGAAATGCGCCACCTGTTGGCACTATTGAAAATTTTATTAACAGGTCAGAGACCTTTAAGAGGCCTTGAAAAATCAACCTATCTTCCTTTCACTATTGATAAAAGAAAAAGGAAAAGCAGTTTGAAACTAATGAATCCTGAAAACTCCCATTCCCCCCTAAACAATAGTAGTATTAGCCTAAGTTGAAGTCTGCTTTGTTAACAAGATCCATTTAGTGTCTCCTACAACTTGGTCATTTTAACTCCATCCATCAATCTAAATACCATGCCCAAAATTTTTCTTAAATCATTTACTTCAGTTTTGAATTATACATTTTCAAATCTTCCATTCAATAAATTTTATTTTTTCATCTTTTTCTCCTGACAGTAGTCTTCAAATACCCTTTAGCATTAAAGTGTTTTCCAATTTAGATCCAAAGTGGTTTACATTGAGATATGCAATGTAATCTACATTTGGTGTGTGTGTATCTAGATGTATGTCTTTTCTTTTTTCCTTACTATGAAAAATTTCCAACATTTTTAAAAACACAACAGTGTAATAAACCCCAATGTCCCAATGCACCCAGTCTCAACAGTTCTCAGTTGGTAACTCATTGTTTTATCTGCCCTCTTCCCTCTCCCTTCTCCTCATTCTCCCTGGGTTATTTTGAAGTGAATACAAAACAATATATCTTTTCATTTGTACATATTTTCATATGTATCTCCAGGACAAAAAGACTTTTGAACCAGCTGTGGAGGCGCATTGCGCTGTAATAGCCACTGCACTCCAGCCTGGGCAACACAGTGAGACCCCTGTCTCCAAAAAAAAGAAAAAAGAAAAGAAAAAAGAAAGTATAATCACCCCTAAAGATTAAAATTTCTTCTTAATATTATCAAATATCCAGTCAGTATTCAGATTTCTCTGGTTATATCAGATTTTTCTTTTTCTTTCTTTTTTTTGGCAGTTTGTTCATATTAGGATTCAAATAAGGTCCATACATTGCAATTGGTATATTTTTTATTTTAATCTGTATGTTCCCCCTCCCCTTCTTTTTTACTTTGCAATTTATTTGTTGAAGAAATTGGATCCTTCATCCTGAAGAGTTTTAATCAAGATTTAAACTAGATTTAATCAAGATTTTTCTAGATTTGTGGTATATCATGTGTTGTTCTTTTTTTAAATTACGTGCTCTTTGTTCCCTGCATTTCCTATAAGCTAGTCTAGAAGCTTGATCAGATTCAGGTTTAAATTTTTTAAATTTAAAAAACTACTTCATAGCGAGGGTTACATAATTCCACAAGAAGGTGCGAAATGTGTACTTGTGTCTTTTTAATTGATTCTAGAAGCTCTTGATTGCCTAGATCCATCATTTCCATGAGAGGACCAGAGTGCACTTTCCTCCACCTAGACTCTTTTTCTCCCCTTTCCCTCACCCACCCACAGCTACCAAGAGAGATAATTGAGCCACCACACGGAGGCTTCCACAGGAAACGGGGCTCCGACTTTTCCTTTTGGGGTCCTGCAGCAGACTGGGTGGTGCTTAGACTGTGAGCTCCCTGCCCACCGGCCCTCCTTGTTGCTGCTTGTCCAGTGACTCCAGCAGAGCAGGGCACACTCCGAGGCAGAGGGACATGGAACCAGCTTGGGCACCCAGTGGGTGACTTGGGACCAGCAAGCATCCCTCTCCCTGGCATGGTCAGGGATTGATCTCTGGGGCTCTGGGGATGGGCCCACAGACCAGATCTCATACACCCAGGTCTTTATCACATTGCCTGGTGGCACAGAGGGGTTATTTGTGAATTGGTCTCCTGAGGTGCCTGCAGGGGCAGTTCAGATGGGAGAGTGCGGTGTGGGTCCTAGCTAAACCGTGCATGCGGAGCACCCCTGGGGGGGTCGTGTTCTGAGCTCAGGCCAAGATCCTGGGCAGGGAACCTTCTGGCCTACATCACAGTGGTGGGGGAGCTCAGCTGGCTTGAGTTCCTGCCTGCCAGAGGAGGCCCTGGAGAAACCGTGGAATAGGGGAGGGTGGAAAATAATATTATTAAGAGTCAGCAAGAAAAGGGCAAAGATACATATCAAAGAATCGTTATCTGGGGGGAAGGCTGAGAACCAGGCAGAGGGATGAGCAGAGGCAGAGGAAGCTGCATTCATACAGGCAGAGCTGGGGTCTTAGTGGGGCTGGGCTCCAGCTGTGCCAACAGGTGGCGAGTGATCTCAGTTTGGGTGTCAGCTGTGCAGCCGGGTTTTCAGCCCGCAGAAGCCTCAAAGAAAGCAGAGATTAAGAGTGGCTCTTCCTGCTCTGGTTTACGGGTAGCACCTGCACAGCCCATCACAGAGATTCCCTGGGTTGTTCACCAGGCCACCCTCTTTTCTCATGCATGTGATCCTTTCCAATTTTTAAACCACAAGATTAAGACAAATGGAAGTAATATTACTCTCGCAATAGCAAATTTCAATCCGCAGCTTAATAGGAAGCAAGCTACTGAGAGCTGCTAAGTGAGCTCTGAGTACAGAACAGAGATGTTATAATAAAATACTCCAGAGTTCACATTCACTGCTGATAATGCCCTCCCAGGGAACAGACTGTCCATTTTCAACATCCTTTTACCAGGCAGTGGGTTAGATGGTTTTTAAAGGTGAGCTTCTTCATAACTGGATTAGGATATGCCTGTAGGTTTGAGGAGTGGGAGGAAGGAGGCAGTAATGAATGACTAGACAAGTGTCACCGAGGAGGACTTAGTGCCAACTGTTCTGTTTGGTGCTAGACTCACACAGCAAAAAAATGTTATCGGCTGGCAGTGCATGCCTTGCAGGCATGTTCTTAACATCATGATAAAATATAACATTTTGATTTTTGTTCCAGTTCCTCAAATCTTTTTTTTATGGCCCTGTGTTTTTCAAAAAGGAGGGCAAAATCGAGAGAGTAGTGGTGGAGGATGGTTTATTTCCTTCTGTACCTGAAGACAGGATGATACATTAGAGGCATTTCAGAAGGAGCCAAAAAACATACAGTACAGACAGCAGGTGGCATCATGTGTCAAATTAACTTTGTCTAAATAAATCTTCACAATCCCCACCTGTGTGGAAAAGTAGACACCTATGAGAGTCTACCCATGATGACATTTAAAAGAAAGATGCTATTCGTGGTGCCGGAGATAAAACAATAAGTTATGACTGAGTGTTAGGAAACCTTTATTTTTTCTCCTTTATTTCTGCCACAGCATATGGTGTGATTTCTTTCCTCTTTATTATTAAAATTCAATGCTGGTAGTTACAGTATAATCAGGATCAAATGATGGATAATTTCTTCCCTTCTATGCTTTCCTTGTTATCATTTCTTAGACTGGAATAACAGCAGAGATGTCTTTAGAAAATAAAATGTTAAGATGAATTACTAAACTGGGAGGAACATCAAAGTTTATATACACAAACACCCTGTGTAATATTCGCAGAGGGTCTTTGTAGATTGTCCACAGTGACAGCTATTGGGAACCAGGATTAGGTCTAATATCTATATATCTCTTGCCCAGTGGCTTCCTTTTTCTGCCAAATACAGGTGTCTTGACTTTTTCTATTATGTCCTCATTAATCCTTCCAGTAACTCTTCCCCTGGATACTTTCTCAGGCAGCCCTAACTATACAGACGATGAAAAACACTTTCTTCACTAAGTATTAGCTAGTTTCTGACAAGCTACTTTAGGTCCCTGCTCACATCAAAATGAAATTATATGAAATACTTGGCATCCATGGCTTACATAAAAAAGAGTCTTGGGTGTCTAAAAAGAAAATAATATCCAATAAAGCTGTTTGTTTTGGCGTGAGGGAGAAATATTTAAAAATGTGTGTATGTGGTTGGTATAAGGTAGATTAAAATGTAAAAATTACACACACAAAAAAAATCTGAAGTAGGAATTAGGTTCCCTAAAGTTAGAAAAATCAATTTAGTCTAATACCTGATTTGTGTATTCTTTTTCAGGTAAGCATCACTAAAATGTATCAAGAGAGTGGATTTAGTACATTTAAGAATTTGAAGAAAATGAGCATTAGTCTAGAAAAGAGCATGGAATTATAATCCTGTAAAAACATAACTTATACTCCAAAAACTTCCTAATGCAGCATATTGCAGAATATCAAGGTAACAATTAGATCTATTGTTTTAGAGCCCATTGTTTATGTGAAAGAAAACCAGTCTATAATCAAACACTACCTATCCACATGGGAAAAATTTATAGGTTTGTTAAACAGAATTACACTGAACCAATGAATGCCATGAGTAAAAGGAACATTACCTTGTTAATGATAACCAAAACATTTTCAGAGGTAGTTCCATTTACCAATATAATTATCTAGTCTTGTATTATCTATCATTTTATCCTTTTTCTTAAGAAATGAAAAAGGAGGCATCTACCAATGCAAATTTCCTATCATTACAAGAATATAATTGTGACTGTTAAGGAGTCCAAATGAATTTATGCCTCACTTGGTCTGAATCAGAAAAATATAGTTCATTAGAGGTGCTAAATTCTCAGCAAGAAAAACACACACATTCACACACACACAGACATACGTATACACTTATGAGAATTAGTGAAATTTGGCATATGATGCTAGTAGTGTACTTTTTTGCTATTAAACCTTCTACATAGACTAATGAGGTTGCTGAAGATCATCCACTTGTAAGAATTCAAAGTTTTTCCTTCACATCAGAAATGTTACTTCTATTGAAATAATCATAATATTTTGAGTATACACATTTTAATTCTGTTCTATGGGAAAAATAGCATAATATCTTTACAAGGAAATCAAATGAAGATATAGTTATGTTTTTCTTTTAATCTGTGTCCAATTCTCTAAACTCCAGATATGCCCTGTATTTTGCTCATATAGGTGAAAGGGGAAATAATACTTAAAGAATAGAAATCATACAAGATCTCTATTGTATGACAGCTTTTGAAATTTTAATTAATCATAGTCTGATTTAAATCATGTAGGAAAAAAAGTATCTATTCATGACATTTTCTGTTATGCTTATGTATAAACAGAAACATTAATATAGGACAATACATTTTGCTTTTCTTTTTGAGACAGAATCTCACTCTGTTGCCCAGGTTACAATGCTGTGGCATCAGCCTAGCTCACGGCAACCTCAAACTCCTGAGCTCAAGCAATCCTCCTGCCTCAGCCTTCCAAGTAGTGGGACTACAGGCATGTGCCACCATGCCCACCTAATTTTTTCTACATATTTTTAGTTGTCTGGCTAATTTCTTCTATATTTAGTAGAGATGTGGTCTCACTCTTGCTCAGGCTGGTTTTGAACTCCTGACCTTGAGCAGTCCTCCCACCTCAGCCTCCCAGAGTGCTAGGATTACAGGTGTGAGACATCATGCCTGCCCTACATTTGCTTTTTAAAATTAAATGGCAGGGCCGGGCATGGTGGCTCATGCCTGTAATCCTAGCACTATGGGAGGCTGAGGCAGGAGGATCCTTTGAGCTCAGGAGTTTGAGACCAGCCTGAGCAAGAGCGAGACCCCATCTCTACTAAAAAAATAGAAAGAAATTAGCTGGACAACACATATATATATATATATATATATATATTATAATATATATATACACATTTATATATGTAGCTGGGCATGGTGGCATATCTTTGTAGTCCCAGCTACTCGGGAGGCTGAGGCAGGAGGATTGCTTGAGCCCAGGAGTTTGAGGTTGCTGTGAGCTAGGCTGACGCCATGGCACTCACTCTAGCCCAGGCAATAGAATGAGACTCTGTCTCAAAAAAAAAAAAAAATTAAATTGAATTAAACTAAATGGCAGAGATAACTCATCCAACAAACCAGCAGAAAGAGCAGATTTTTTTCACTTTGACACTTCAGACGGCATTTGCAAGTGTGACTAATTGTAAAGTGATAAAATGACTTCCTTCTGTCAGTGTCTGTGTGAGAAATACAAGTGGAATTAGTGTGAAAATTTTCTCCTATGTTATTTATGTTTCAATTTAAAATCAGAGAACAATGAAAGAGCATTTTTTTTGAGACAGAGTCTTGCTTTGTTGCCCAGGCTAGAGTGAGTGCCGTGGTGTCAGCCTAGCTCACAGCAACCTCAAACTCCTGAGCTCAAGTGAGCTTCCTGCCTCAGCCTCCCAAGTAACTGGGACTTACAGGCATGCGCCAACATGCCCGGCTAATTTTTTTTATATGTATATATATATTTAGTTAGCCAATTAATTTCTTTCTATTTTTAGTAGAGATGAGGTCTCACTCAGGCTGATTTTGAACTCCTGACCTCAAGCAATCTGCCCGCCTCGGCCTCCCAGAGTGCTAGGATTACAGGCGTGAGCCACCACGCCTGGCTGGAAGAGCATTTTCTATGCATGGAAATATGTTGAAAGAAAAAGGGGGACGCAGTCCCTGAGAATTGATATTATTAGTTGCCTAATGTTTAGTAGAACGAGTGGTTAAGAGCATAAAGTTTGCAGTCAAATGAGTTCCATCCAGAGACTCATCATTGTTTGGCTATGGCACCTTAAGCAAGTTACCAACCTTTTAAGGCTTAGTTTTATGATGTAATACAATAAATTAATAATTGCTTCTTAGAAATTTGTTAGAGAAATAAATGATGTAATAAGACGCAGCACATCTCTTGGCAATTATTAGTTAACATTAGTTTTGACTTGGTCTCATGAAATTAGAGGATAGAACATTAATGTATTTTTAGTTAGCAATATTTGTTGCTAGGTGTGACTTTTACCATTACATGAACTTTTCTTGAATGCTTCCACATTTAAGAGTATGTCTATCCAATAGTTCTTATAAAAGATGATTCTTACTTATCAATGCAGATATGCCTAACTTTCCCCCTAAGAAATGATCAGGCACTTTTGGAAAATCTAGCACAATTGTTACACAGAAAATTGCAAAATATTGAACTTTCAACAGTTAAAATCATTCCTCCTCATCAATAATATTATCCTAAGACTTTACTATCTTTAGCTGTTCTCTACCTATACATAAACCCTTCCTTTTTAAAATGATCTCATATAAAGACATATTTTATTCTCTGTGGACATCTGAAAGATTGTATTTTGGAGGAAACAATGGTAAAATAAACTGCATGGAAAAGAGATCAACTTTTTTTTTTTTTTTTTAATCAGGGAAGATACTTAAGAGAAACTTTCAATGATGTAGGAAAGAAAATTTTAATTTCCCCTCCTCACATATCCAATGAGGATGGGACTTCTACCTCATTCTCTGAAAGACCAAAATGAATGTGAACACATTTGCCACTTTTTCTAGTTCCCACACAGGAGAAGTCACACATCCAATATTTATTTCAGCAGGGGTATTTTACCGGTAGTTGAGATTAGGATGGCAAAGGTCGCTCATTCTCTCTTTGGCTGAGCCCAGAGAGATGGAATTCATTCTCCTATCTCTACACAGTAAGCAGCCTCTGTGGGAGCTCTTCCGCAAGCCAGTGATTCACTTCCTCAAGTCTAGATTTTGACAGGCCAATGGGTAGAAAGGTGAGGTTGACACTACCGTGTTAACCCAAATTATCATCACGTCTGGTGGGAAAAGGAGACCTTACACACCAATATTACCCACTTATGAGTGGATACTACCCATTGGTCAAGCGCTAACAAGGTATTTGTTGCCTGACTATTGAACTAAAGCATTGACATCCATTTGACAATTAGTGTGTACTACACAAAGAGTGAGGAAGGATATGAAATATTTTAAATGTGATTATCAGGTTTATGCATTACATCAATAGCTTGAATCTCATTAGATGGTCATTGGCAGTGTTTCGTATAAGGAAGACACTAAAAATTATATGTAAAAGTTGACACATGTTTGTGAAACATGCAGATTTTGATTCAGAATAAGTTCACTATGAGCAAATACTCAAAAAATGCTATCTGAAGTGCTACCATACAAAAATAGTAGTAAAATCAGTGTATTTTTTAGTACCATTTCTTGTGTTTTTGGCCATGGCACACCTAAAGTCTTGGGTTAATAAATGCAGCCATGAATTCGTGCTGGCATTAGAATGTCAATGCCTTCTGACCAATGTC